GGGCAAAGGGAACGGGGCGGGGGCCGCCTCCAGCAGCTGCTGGCCCGGGCTCACCCCCTCGACTCCCTGGAGAAGCAGATGGAAAAGGTTGGGGTTGGGATGGCCTGTTCCTCCCCTGCTGGGACTGGGACAGATGGTGAGGGCCGCTGCTGTCCCGTCTTCCATTCATAAGGCACAAGGCGCCCAGGAGTAGTCGAGGCTCGGGAAGGTCCTGGTGTGCACTTACTAGTGGGGTGACTGGGTTTGGTTACCTCTAAGATGAAGGTAGATCTCCTGGGGAAGGGACGGGCACTCTGCTGGTGCTGGACAGACTCCCGTTCTGTCTCCTGCGAGAGAGGTCCATGTGGTCCATTTAACAAATGAATAAGGTGAGGCTTGGAGAACTTCAGTAGTTCTCTCCAGGTTATTTATGCAAAAAGGAACAGTTTGGCTAGCAGGTGGCGTGGTGGTTACAGTGCTGGACTCCCACATAGCCAACCGCTGTTCAAATCCTGGACCTGGCGGCTTGAAACTCATACAGTGCGTGTGGATACAAAAAAAAAAAAAAAGGAACAAGATGGGAATTTAAGCACTGAGATAAATGCTTTACAGCCATTTAATCTTCATCACCCACTCTGCGAGATAAGAACTATTATCCATCTTCATTTTACAGAGGAAGCGCTGAGGCCCAGAGAGGTTAAATAATTTGCCCAAGGTCTCACAACTAGAAAGCAGCAGAAGACTTGAACCCAGGCAGTCTGGCAGCTGAACCTTTGCGTCTAACGTTAGTACCCATTAAGATAAATACGTATCTCCACAAATTAAAAATGACTATATTGTACTAAAAATTAAACGTCCACGTTCCACCCAGCATCACCTTCACGTCACCCTGACCTGGAGGATAAATTCCACACGCCTGGTGTGACACTGGAGGCCGTGGGAACCATCCACTCCACGGTTTACAGCCTGTCTCCTCATGCACACTCCCTGTGACTGCCAGTGTGCCTGCTGTGTCCTGGCCATACCTGCCACTTCTCTGCCCATGTTAGTCCTTTTCCTTGCCCTGGGATCTGCAGACCTGGGAATGGTCCTCTCTAAGTCTCCTGTTGCCTCCCATAGCTGCCTGCCTCACTGGCCTGCAAGCTCCTGGAGGACGGCTTTGAGTTAGATTAACTTCTCCATTTCCACAGTCAGCGCACAGTACAGTCCAGAGTAGATTTGTGTGACTCTTATTAGATATTATTGTCACTGGCAATATTCATGGAACTAGATATCATGTCTTTTGCACTTATTACATGTCAGGGAGGGGGCTGCCCACTTTATGCGTTATCTCATTTAATCCTGCACCAGCCGCAGAGCCACACGGGGTTGTCAGTGGGATCTCTACTTCCTGACTGAGGACCCCGATGTGCAGAGTCTTTAAGTGGGTGCCGGGTCCATCTTGGCAGAGTCCAGTGTGGTTTCACAATCAGGGCCTCGAGAGCCCCTGCTGGCCCACACACGAGCTATGCACCGACCCTCCTTCTGCTTCCAGACTCCATCAGCAGCTACGAGGCCCAGATTGCATCCCTGAAGCAGGAGCGGCAGGGGCCGGAACAAGGGACCCGGTGGCCCGGGCTCACCCCCTCGACTCCCTGGAGAAGCAGATGGAAAAGGTTGGGGTTGGGATGGCCTGTTCCTCCCCTGCTGGGACTGGGACAGATGGTGAGGGCCGCTGCTGTCCCGTCTTCCATTCATAAGGCACAAGGCGCCCAGGAGTAGTCGAGGCTCGGGAAGGTCCTGGTGTGCACTTACTAGTGGGGTGACTGGGTTTGGTTACCTCTAAGATGAAGGTAGATCTCCTGGGGAAGGGACGGGCACTCTGCTGGTGCTGGACAGACTCCCGTTCTGTCTCCTGCGAGAGAGGTCCATGTGGTCCATTTAACAAATGAATAAGGTGAGGCTTGGAGAACTTCAGTAGTTCTCTCCAGGTTATTTATGCAAAAAGGAACAGTTTGGCTAGCAGGTGGGGTGGCGGTTAAACTGCTGGACTCGGGCTAGCAGGTGGCGTGGTGGTTACAGTGCTGGACTCCCACATAGCCAACCGCTGTTCAAATCCTGGACCTGGCGGCTTGAAACTCATACAGTGCGTGTGGATACAAAAAAAAAAAAAAAGGAACAGAGTTGGCATTTAAAATTCCAAAATCCAAACTATCTGCTTTCAAGCTCCGTGGACTATCCCTCCTTTGTTATTGTTGTTAGTCATAGGAAGCATGTTACCAAACTTTCATCTTTCAAACAAATTTATGTTGTTACCTCAGTGGATCCTCACAGCAGCCTGGGGAGGCAGGTACTTAATTAATACCTCATTTTTGGCATGAGGAAACTGAAGCTCAGGAAATTGGAGTAAATTGCCTGGTTAAGAAAGCAAAGATCAGGGGCCAGTAGGTGGTGTGGTGGTTAAGGCAGTAGACTCCCACATGGCCTTCTGTGGTTTGAGTCCCAAACCTGGTGGCTTGAAAATCATTGTCGGACACGTGTATGTGCGTGCACATGTCCAAAATCCTGAGAAGAGAATGGAGGAGAAGGGATTGTGTATGGCATCCCCCAGGGGCCTGATTTCTCACTGTCCCTCTCTCTCTGGCGAGCACATATGCCCTGTGACAGAAACCTTAAAAAAGAAAAGAAAAAAAAAAAAGACAAAAGATCAAAACAGGAGCCCAACAAAAGAGGGCTTCCAATCCTCCCTTCCCAGCAGAGGTTGACTTGCACCCCTGAACTCAGGTGGGGCGGTAAGGAGAAGTCTCCACCCCGGAAGAGCCACCTGTTACAGTGGGAGGAGCAGCACGTCAGCAGTCAGGCAGCTTCCTGTCCCAGCCCATCCCCTCATCAGCCTTATGCATCCCTGCACACGCAAGCTGAGGTGTTCGTTCGGGCTGCACTGGATTACGCTGCAGCTGTTCATAGGAGAAACAGCTTGTCTGAGATTTGAGGCAAGAGGGTAGTGACAGATGGCAAGGGACAGATCTCTGCCTTGAAAAGCTGGGTGGAGAGCCAGGTAGAACCGCGTCAGTAAGTTGGTGAATTTGGCCATCTTAGGTTATTGGAGCCTGTGTGGCATCCTAGTGGGGATGTCCAGGGGCTGTCGGTTATACATGCTCAGGAGCCCAAGCTTGAAAAGAGATGGAAAGAAATGAGCTGCCTTAGGGTGGTGATAGCAGTGTGGGGGACATATCAGAGAGGATGGGGTTGGGCTGCTTGCATTGCAAACCCAAATTAACAGTGGCTTAAATGTGATAGGTGTGTGTGTGTGTGTGTTTTAAGAGAGACTTTTTGCTGTAGGGTGCATGCACTTGCCAGAGAGACAGACAGAAAGCAAGAAAGCAACCCCAGGCGAGATGGCCACACCTCAATCCCTTGTCCTCCATTCTCCTCTTGGGATCTTGGGCATGCATGCACATGCATCCTGCGTGAGTTTTAAGCCACCAGATCTGGGACACAAACTGCAGCCGACTACATGGGAGTCCAGTGACCTAACTATTACGCCATCTGAAATGTGTTTTTCTTCAAGTCCAGAGAACTGGTATGGCAGCTCACCAAGTCATTAAGAACCCAGGCTCCTCCTGTATTGCTGTTTTGCCATAGGTAGCAGATTGCCTTATGGTCCAAGATGACTGCTTGAGTGCCAGCCATCATGCCCACATTCCATCCAGCAAGAAGGAGGAGAAGCAGGAGTAAAGAAGGGCACATCCTCTTCCTTTAGGGAGTTGTCCTGGAAGTCACATATGACATGCCTGCTCCCATCTCATTAGCTGGAACTTAGTCGTATGATCAAGTTGCGAGGAAGCTGAGAAGTGTAGATGGCATTCTAGAATTTAGGCCATGTGCCCGACTAAAATCATGAGCCTCTATGATAAAAGAAAAGAATGGATGCTGGGGAAGAAAGGTATGGTGAGTAAGTGGACGACAGGAAGAGAGCGGTCCAGATCTTGGCCCCTGTACCTTATGCCCTGGGGCTAGGCATGGAACCTTTCAGAGCCTCTGTGTTCTTATCTCTAAAATGGGGGACAGCGCCTCCTGTGGCGGGTTAGAAGAGCCCATGTGCTTGGAGAGAGCGCTGAACAGATGCGAAGGGTCTGGCAGTCTGGAGGAGGGACTGTCGCTGTCCAACCGCCCCCACCTCCAGGCCCACGAGGACTCAGAGAAACTGCGGGAGATCGTGCTGCCCATGGAGCAGGAGATCGAGGAGCTGAAGGCGAAACTGCTGAGGGCAGAAGAGCTGATTCAAGAGATCCAGGTGAGGGGGCAGCCAGGGGGCACTGAGGGAAGAAGGGGCGCTGCAGGACCCAGCTCCTCAGCCTCTTCTCTGCCCCCTTTCCCTAGAGGCGTCCCCAGCACCCCCCTTCCTTGCATGATTCCACGGAGTTGCTGCCCTTGTCCCGGGACCCATCTCCCCCACTGGAGCCCCTGGAAGAGCTGAGTGGAGAGGGGGGCACAGCTGCCGAGGCCTTCGCCCACAACTGCGACGACAGCGCCTCCATTTCCTCCTTCTCCCTCGGCGGTGGGGCTGGCAGTAGTGCCTCCCTGCCCCGCAGCCGCCAGGGCCTGAGCCCCGAACAGGAAGAGACAGCCTCTCTGGTGTCCACGGGCACCCTGGTCCCCGAGGGCATCTACCTACCCCCTCCTGGTTACCAACTCGTCTCAGACAGCCAGTGGGAGCAGCTGCAAATGGAGGTGAGTGGAGCAGGGAGAGTGGCCTGTGGGCCTCCATGTTGGCTCTTACCACTTACACAGTGGGCACCTGCCACGTCCCGGCCTGAGCTGGCGCAGGGGTCCCTCGAGAAGAAGAGAACCTCCCCAGGCCAGCTCCACGGCTGGTGGTTAAGGTAACTGGATCCCACATGGCTGACCACACAGTTTATAGTCCTAGACCCAGCGGCTTGAAAAACGTGCTGGGCAGATGTGCACGTGTGCCCCAAATCCCAGTGAGATGGAGGAAAAGGTATAGTGGTGTGGCCATGCCCCATTGAGAGGCCCTCTCAGGAGCGCACATGTCTTCTAGAAACAATAAATAAATACGCTTCAAAAAGAGGGAATTCATCCAAAGGCCCTGAGGATGAGTAGATTGCAGCTTGGTCCTGAGGAATAGGAAAGGGACCTGCAGAGGGGAGATGGCCGACCGCAGTTTGAGTCCCAGACCCGGTGGCTTCAGAATCATGCTGGGCTCATGTGCGTGCATGCCCAAGATCACAGGAGAATGGAGGAGAAGGGATTGTGGTGTGGCTATCCCCACTGAGGGGTGATTTCTCACTTTCCCCCTCACTGTCTGTCTCTGGTGAGCGCACACACCCTAAGGCAAAAACCTCTTAAAAAAAATAATAATTAAAAAAATTAAGCGCACCTGGGGCTGTAAGGGTGGACTGTGGTGGCACAGAAAGTGAGAGGAGAAGCAGAGTGATTGGTTGGGGCTGTCGTTTAGAAGCTAGTGACAGACCAGGAGGTGGCCTCAGAAATGGAGGAAGTGGGTGGGTCTGGAACCCACTTTGGAGGGGGGACCCAGAGTGCCTGCTGACAGATCGCAGGAAGGAGGAGTGGGCGTTGATCCCGGGGCTGCTAGCGAGAGGGACTGCGTGCATGACAGTGCTGCCATGCGGAGCTGCGAGGCGGGAAGGCCCGGTCGGACGTGGACACTGAGGTCAGGGTCTGTGGCAGGGTCGGCAGCTACAGAAGGACCTGGAGAGTGTCAGCCGTGAGCGGGACGAGCTGCAGGAGGGCCTGAGACGCAGCAACGAGGACTGCGCCAAGCAGGTGGGGCCAGCTCTTCTCTATCCCCAGCCGGTCTCTGGCCGCCCGTCTCTCTGAGGATCCTCCCATCTTACCCTCGCCCTCCTCCCACCCACAGATGCAGGTGCTCCTGGCCCAGGTTCAGAACTCGGAGCAGCTGCTGCGGACCCTACAGGGAACTGTGAGCCAGGCCCAGGAACGGGTTCAGCTGCAGATGGTGAATACTAGGGGGGATGGAGGGCTGGGTTGGGGGTGTTGGAGCACCATGGAAAGTCAAGGCACCCGTCCTGCCCCCCAGCTGCTCTGGCCTTACCTGGAGCTGGTGCTAGTTTGGTAAAGAGCAGGGCCATGCAGTGACACAGCTATGTGACCTCGAGTTAATCCCCAGCCTTGGAGCCGCCACCTCCCATCTGTAAGGATGAGGTAATGGGTCCCTGTCTGCAGAGTCATGAGGATGAAAAGCTGGTTGGCCAGATACCTGGGTCCAACAGTAGTGCAGTAACAGCGGAAGGCTCTGTGAGGCAGACCCACGTGAGAGGGTCCTGAGTTCATGTCGGAGTGCTCCTGAGTACCTGGGCTCAGGCGTGCCGATGATCCAGGGCTGGCTGAGGCTAGAGGTCATCATGGGATTGGGGCCCTGTCGGGGGTGCCTCTCTCTCTGTCTCTCTCACTTATAGAAGACCGAACATTAAATAACAACAACAATGATAGTAGAAAGCAGGTACTTGAGAAGACCAGAGAAGAGAGGTCAGTGGCTGAGCCAGCCCAGATGTGGGACAGGAAGGCACAGTAGGCAGCCCTGCAAGCCCATGCTGGGGGGACAGCCACCTCAGTTCTGCTGACCATGACCACCTGAGAATGTGGCCTTGATGCTGCCAGCTTTTCTAAAGTTCTAAGAGAAGCCAGAAATCAGAATTTTTGTGTATTGTCTTTCAGTTTTGAATTGGTTGTTTTTTGGTTTTTTGTTTTTTTTTTTTTTTTTTTAGGATTTTACCATAGGGCACATGCACTTGCTGGAGAGAGAGAGAGAGAAATCACACCCCGGGGGGATGGCCATATCGCAAGCCCTTTTTCTCCATTCTCCTGTAGGGGTTTTGGGCACGCATGCACATGCACCCTGGCATGATTTTTTTTTTCAAGAGGTTTTTGCTATAGAGCGTGTGCGCTCACCAGAAAGACAGAGACAGAAAGACAGAAAGTGAGAAATCATGCCCTGGGGGGATGGCCATGCCACAATCCCTTCTTCTCCATGCTCCTCAGGATTTTGGTCACACATGCACATGTGCCCAGCGTGAGTTTAGGCCACTGGGTCCAGGACTCGAACCGTGGTTGATTACATGGGAGTCCAGCAACATAGCCATTACGCTAACCACGGGTTCCCCCTGGTGTGATTTCAAGTTACCAGGTCCAGGACTCAAACCACGGAGTCAGCCATGTGGAATCCAGCGCCTTAACTACCATCTGCTGGCCCCATGTCTCCCAGTTTTTAAAGTTGGCCAGCCACTTGGAGGTTTTTTCAAAAACCACAGGAGAGCTGACTCTATGGCCTAGTGCATTAAGGGAGCCAGATCATCCATGGTCAACCATGCAGTTTGAGTCCTGGCTTGAGAAACGAGCCTGGTACATGTGCGTGGGTGCCCGAACTCCAACAGAAGGGTGAAATGGAGGAGAAGGATTGTGATGGGACTGCGCCCCCTGGGAGGTGCTGTCCCCTCTCCCTGTCTCTTGTCTCTTTCTGGCAAGCACACTTGCCCTCTGGCCATTCAAAAAAAAAACAAAATTAGACAGAAATGGATAGACAAACTACCCGCATGGGCATGGGCCTTGGCTGCCAGTGTGTGAGCTTTGAGTCAACTGGGAGGGCGTCCACCCAGCTGGGCAGCCAAAGACACTCCATAAAGGCTGCTTCTTCCTCTCCAGCCCCTAGCAGGCTTGGGCTTTCCGGCCGTCAGACTGGGAGGAGGGCCCAGGGTTCTCCCTCACAGGGGCTGCAGGCTCCCATCCCCTTTGTCACCTGTACTCACCGCCCATCCCCAGGCAGAGCTGGCCACCTCCCACAAGTGCCTGCACCACGAGGTGAGGCGGCTGAACGAGGAGAACCAGGGGCTCCGGGCGGAGCAGCTGCCTCCACCAGCTCCCCAGGGCCTGAAGCAGGAGGAGGGCGAGGAGTCGCTGCCCAGCTCAGTGCCGGTAAGTGTGGTGGGTGGGGACCAAGAGCCGGGGGGGCCACCCTGGCCTATGTCTCCAGGTGGAACAGAGCATTGGCTTGGGACCGGGGACAGACCCAGCTGCCGTGTGTCCGCTGTGTTGCCTCACCCAACTCACTTGCCTTCTCTAAGACTCCAAGACCCGGTTTCTTTATATGAGGAATGGGACCGTATCTCCTTCCCATTGTATCTCCTTCCCATTGTTCATGAAGAGGAGTTACTGCTCCGCTTGACACAAAGTAGTAATTCGGTTTGTTTGCTGTTTTTAGGTAACATGAGATGTACCAGGGGTTGAATTCATCATCATCTTTAGTTCATGGCCAGCTTGATGCATGGCCTTCGTTGATTTAATTTTGTGATGCTTTTTTTTTCAGACTTGTTAAAATTTGCTGTAGGCTGTGTGCACTTGCTGGAAAGAGACAGAGAGAAAGAAAGAGAAAGTAAGAAAGCACCCCTCGGGGTGGAGAGTCATGCCACAATCCTTTTTCCTTCATCTTTTCCTCCTTTCACGATTTTAGATATGCACACACGCCCCGTGTGCTTTTCAAGCCTCCAGGTCTGGGGCTCAAACCATACAGTTGGCCATGTAGGATCCAGCTGCTTTCACCACCATGCCACTTGCAGGCCCAATACTGTAACCTATTAACAGATTATTAGAAATGCAAAAGATCGGGACCACCAGTTGACGTACTGGCTGTGTTGCTGGACTCCCACGTAGTCAACTGTGGTTTGAATCCTGGAACTGGTGGCTTAAACTCACACCGGACGCGTGTACTTGCATACCCAAGATCCCGAGAGGAGAATGGAGGAGAAGGGACTGTGGTGTGGCCATCCCCCCTGGGGGTGATTTCTCGCTTTCTTTCTCTTTCTGGTGAGCACACGCACCCTATAGCAAAAAAAAAAAAAAAAAAAAAGAGGAAAAAGAAATGTAAACGATCACCTGGGAACCCTCCTCCGGGAACCACGACTTACATCTCTATCTGTGTACCCCCATACATACGCCTTGGTTCTGTTTATCCTTCATGCTCATTTTTGGTGTCATTTTCACTACATAGTCAATGGAGTGTTTAACTTCAATTGTTTCTGAGCTTTTGAGGCTGGTCCTATAGCACAGCAGTTAAACATTGTGCATTGGAAACTGAGTCCTGCATGGTTGACAGGTTCAAATCCCAGCCCTGCGTCCATCCGGGATCCTGATGGGATGGAGGAGAAAAGATTGTGGCATGACCTTGTCCCAGGGGAGGAGGGGTATGCGTACTTTGTCCCTCTGTTTTCTCTCTCTTGGTAAGCACATGTGCTCTCTGGAAATAGAAAATAAAATGGAAGTATAGCAACACAAACTTGTTCACTAAATAAAAGGGTGTCTTGCTCTCTGCGGTCTTCTGGAACTTTGGCTTGGTACCTCCCCGAGTCCTGCAGGTGGGGCGGGTGGTTCTGTGTTACGGTTCCCACCACTGTTCACTCTGTGCTCATCCCTCCTCTGACCATGAGCATTTCAGTTCTTGCCTGTTCTAGCATCTTCCTTTTCTCCTTCCTTTTTTCTTCCTTCCTCCCTTCCTCTCTCCCTTCTTCTTTTCTTTAGCATTTTTTTATTTTTGCCTTTAACATGATAGAGCCCGTGCATACTCACACGTGAGACAAAGGAGCACCCTCCACGGGGCGTGGTCCCTCCATAGTTCCTGTCCTCCAGCCCATTGGATCTTGGGCACTTACACGTGTGGCCGCTGTGTTTCAGCCGACGGCATGAGGATTCTGACAGTGGCTGCCATGTGGCTTCCAACACTGCAGTAGGCATGCTGCCACCTGTGCACCATAGCTGGGCCTGTCCTTCCTTTCTCTCCTGCCAATCCATCTGGCCAGTGGCCCCGGTGGCTCTTGCCTTCTGCTGTCCTGTCCACTCCCAGCAGGTGATTCGTGTCCCTTCCAGGAGCTGCAGCAGCTGGTGCGACGCACACGGCAGGAGACCCGGGCCCGGCGACAGGCCCAGGAACACGAGGCAGAGCGCCTGCGGATTGAGATCGTGAAGCTGCGGGAGGCGCTGGAGGAGGAGACGGCAGCCCGTGCCAGCCTGGAGGGGCAGTTGAGGGTGCAGCGGGAGGAGACAGGTGAGAGGAAAGGAGACTTCCCCCCGGGGACCTCCCGGTGAGGGCCACAGGAGGGGAGGAGACCCTATGAGAGGTAGGCCTGACTGCTCTTCCTTTCCTTCCCACACAGAGGTGCTGGAGGGTGAGTATAGTCTGGTGCTGGCGGGCTGGGTGGGGAGGGCAAGAGTGCGACCTGATGTCTCACCCTATGCCTGACTCCCCAGCCTCCCTGTGCAGCCTGAGGACAGAGATGGAGCGCGTCCAGCAGGAGCAGAGCAAGGTGAGGCAGCGCAGGGCCTCCCCCGGTGAGGGACAGGGCTGAAGGGGGCATCCTGACCAGCCCCTCCTACCCATTATGTCTCCCTCAGGGCAGGTGGCAGGAAGCCCCGAGGCAACCCCCAGGCTCAGGCCAGATGGAGGAGGTCAGAGTTGGGGGTGTTGTGCAAGGGGCAGCGTGTTCAGAGTCGGGTATCTCTGGCCACGCACCTCCCATCCGGGGAGCCAGGCCCAGCTCGGTGTCCTGTCCCACAGACCCAGCTCACAAACCTCCTCTCGGAGCAGAGGGCGAAGGTGCTGAGGCTGCAGGCTGAGCTAGAGACCAGCGAGCAGGTGCAGAGGGACTTTGTGCGGCTGTCCCAGGCCCTGCAGGTATGCACGGCATGTTCCCTCTCACAGGCTGGCCTGCCCTGGGTGACTTGGCCTAGTCTTACAAGGATTGTCTGCCATTTGGTGTCCTTTGAGGGTCCTTGAGGAGCCACTCCACCCCTCGCACCCACTCTGGACCCTTCCTCCTTCTGGGGCTGGCACAGCCCTTCCCTGAGGTGTTGCTCCAGAACACTGAAGCTCTCACGTGTGTCTCGGTCAGCCACATGAACCCTTGACACAGGCCCGGCACCTGGGCATGTGGTGCTGTCACCAGTTGCACCCCCTCGCCCCACCCCACTGCCTCAGGCTGTCATTTTAGGGCCCATTCCCTCCCTTGATCTCTGTTTCACTGAGGGCTGGGAGAGGTGGCCTGGTCCCTGCCCTTGGGGGCTGGCAGGGGGCGCTGGGCCAAGGACTCCGCTTCCCTCTCCCCACTGACCCTATAGGTGCGCCTGGAACGGATCCGCCAGGCGGAGACTCTGGAGCAAGTGCGCAGCATCATGGATGAGGCACCCCTGAGGGACGTCAGGGACATCCGGGACACCTGAGGGGCTGGGCAAGACCCTGCTGCCCTTTCCCACCCTTGGAAGACTGCCTTCCTCCATTCTAACACTGTGAGGCCTGGGAATTGGGGCCATGAGGTGGGAGTCTCCACCCTCTCCAAGCCTGGGGTGGAGCTGACAGCCACCGCTGCCCTGCCCCTGCAGCGCCTCCTCCCAGGTGTGGCTGGCCCTTTTGCTCTCAGGGATGACTCCTGGGGGAGGGTCCCAACCCCTTCCCAGAACCAAAGGTGCAGGCTCAGGCCTGCGGCTTTCTGCTGCACACCACCTCCCAGTGCCCTGGCACTCGCAGGCCAGCCCCCTAACGGTTGTGTCTGTTACAGCCCATCCCCTTCCCCAAGGTCCCTTTGAGCCCGTGGAGGGTGCAGCTTCCATTCTGTCAGTGCAGGCAGGTGCCTTGCACATGTGCACATGCCCTGGGACAGACAGCTGCTTTCTGGACTGCATGACACTAAGATGCTCATCCATAGGGGCTCAGTCCCGGCCCCAAGACGTGCACGAAGGCGAGGCCAGACTTTTCTGTCATTTATTTTCAATAAATAAGCAGCTCAGCTCAGTCGTCGCCTTGTCCCTGCAAGCCCCAGGGGTAGGGGAAGGGGAGGATTTACAAGGTTCAAAGGGGGGGTGGGTTGCTGAAGGGGGGCGGAGAAGTCAAGGGGACATTGTTTATAAACAGAAACGTGGGGGTAGAAGGGACGGGGGCTGTGCCACAGCTCTGGCTGAAGATGCATCACTATCAGGGTGGGGACAGGGGCAGAAGGACAGTCACTTCCTTCTTTCATCTTCTGGATCTGGAAAGAAAGGGGAGGAGTGAGGTGGAGGCAGGCAGGAGAGGCAAAGGCCCCCAGGTGCCCACCTCCCGCACACTCGCCTGCTGCATCACCATCCTCTTCATCCCCACACTCACCTGGTCCCCGTGTCCCCACCTCCCACCACCCGCTGGAACTCCGCAGCAGACAGCCCGCGCCCAGCCAGCGCGACGCAGCGCACGCACGCAGCCCAGCAGACACAGTGGTGCCCGGGCCCCCCAGGGGGGGAGCCCTGGGAGCGGTGCCATGCCCAGAGGGGACACAGAGCCCACCCCCGCCAGAAAGCGCGGCGGTGGGAGCAACGCAGCTGTGAGCGAGCGCAAGTGACCGCAGGGGTGGGACAGCTGTGAGCGAGCGCAAGTGACCACAGGGGTGGGACGGCGGGCACAGCAGTCGGCGACGGCAAGGAGGGAGGCGATACCTGTGACACGGGTTCAAAGAGGTGGAGGAGGGGGAAACGTTTATCCTATGGCCAGAGAGGACAGAGAGACAGCTGTTATCGAGGAGGGGAGGCGGCCTGGAGGGCCCAGTGGCTGAGGCGGTGGGGCTGCGTGAGCACGTGGCCCCACCGGGTGGAGGTGGAGGGGAAGCGGCCTGGGGCGCCCTATCTGGCGGACACCGGTCCTGCCTGGGCGAGAACTAACCCACCTGCAAAGAGGGTGGGGGGCGGCGCCGTTCGCAGCGCGGAGGGCAGGGGCTCTGCTCAGGGTCGGGGCTCACGAGGTCAGAAGGGGGCGCTCCTTACCCTCCAGGTAGTTCCGAGCAATGAACTTGAGGAGTTCGTCGAGCCCGATGACTGGAAGTGAGATCTTGAGGACCATGAGCCACTGGGTGAGGTCCAGGGCTCGGAGCTTGAAGATCATCTGGAAGGGTGGGAGGCGGAGCAACGAGAGTGAGGGTCCCGGTGGGCTGAGCCCGGCTCCCACACCCACCTCCAGTGGGGAAGGAAGGCTCACCGGCAGGGGGTCGACGTAGAGGATGAGGAAGTGCAGGGACATGGAGAGGCAGATGGAGCCCAGCAGCCAGATGTTCACCCAGGGCGGCATCCGCAGCAGGGACTGGTTCTCAGACAGGCTGCAGAGGGCGACGGGGCCAGGAGACAAGAAGAGAGCTGTGAGGAGAGGGAGGCGGGGCCGGGCCAGGGCCAGGACCGCAAGGCCTCTGGAGGGCGGTGGCGGGTGTGCAGGCTGCGTACCTGTTGAGAGCGTTGCACATCTCGATGGTGACCAGCACAGACAAGGCCATGGTCATGGGCTCCGGGGCCTCGAAGATCTCACAGTCTAGGCCGTCAAAGTCCGGGTTGTGCTCAGTGCACTGCATGAAGTGGGTCTGCAGGGGAGGGGTGGGGGAGTGAGACCCCAGGGAGGCCTCCTCATGGCCCTCCTGGTCCTCTCCTTCCCAGCAGCCCCTACCAGCTGGTTGTAGGTGACACGAGGCCCGTCCTCGGCGTACAGGAACCACCAGGCAGCTGCTCCCACGGTGGCTGCACCCACGTAGCCTGTGGGACAGAAGATGGGAGTTGGCCAGAGCTGGGAGACAGAGACATCGAGGGAGCCCTGCGTGGCCATGACAGCTGGTTTAAGAGGGCACATCGGGGCTGCACTGGAGGAACTGGTGTTCGGACACAGGGTCAGTCCTGAGGGCAGGATTGTGGGGTCCCATCCTACTCACCCCCAATTGCCATATAGCGGAAGAAGAGCCAGCCACTGATGAGGGGCTCCTTAGGGCTCCGTGGGGGCCGGTCCATGATGTCCAGGTCTGGGGGGTTGAAGCCCAGGGCTGTGGCTGGGAGCCCGTCAGTCACCAGGTTCACCCACAGCAGCTGCACAGGGATCAGCGCCTCAGGCAGCCCCAGGGCGGCTGTCAGGAAGATGCTGCAGGAGGAGGCGGCCTCGTGTCTGTCCTGCTCCCCGGCCCGTGCTCAGCCCCCACGCAGCTCCGGGGCCCTCCCGAAGCCGGACCCTGGCCACTCACCAGACCACCTCACCCACGTTGGAGGAGATGAGGTAGCGGATGAACTGCTTCATGTTGTTGTAGATGGCCCGGCCCTCCTCCACGGCTGCCACACTGGTGGAGAAGTTGTCGTCGGCCAGCACCATCTCAGAGGCAGTCTTGGCCACGGCTGTGCCAGAGCCCATGGCAATGCCGATCTCGGCCTTCTTCAGGGCTGGGGCATCGTTGACACCATCACCTGTCTGAGGAGAGAAGGAGAGGTCAGGACCAGGGCCTCCTCTGCACAGCCACCCTGAGACTCTTCCTCAGGCCCAAATTCCTCCCTGGGTGCATCTCACCAGGGCCTCCCCGCAGGCCCCAGCAACCCAAGATGGCCATCTCAGCAACGCTGAGGTGACGACCAGGCCCGCCAGCCTTGGGGACGCCTCACCATCGCTGTGATCTCATCGTAGGACTGCAGATACTCCACGATCTTCGACTTGTGGGAGGGCTCCACGCGGGCGAAGCAGCAGGCGCGGCGGCAGGCTTCCCGCTGCTCACCCAGGGGCAGGTCGTCGAACTCACGGCCAGTGTAGGCACGGTCCGCCACCTCCTCGTTTTCCCCAAAGATGCCGATTCGTCGGCAGATGGCAATGGCTGTGCCCTTGTTGTCCCCAGTGATCATAATGACACGGATCCCGGCGTCACGGCACAGCTGGATGGAGCCTGTGACCTCCTTGCGGGGTGGGTCCAACATGCCCACCACACCCACGAATGTCAGGTCCGTCTAGGGACACAGAGGGACAAGTCAGGGAGAGGCTTGGGAAGTGAGCCAGGGAGGGTGCTCAGGGCAAATCAGGGAGGTCGGGGAACTGTCCTGATAGCCTCCAAGCCTGGTGTTCAGACCTCAGCAGGGCCGGGGGCGCTCAGAGGCTCACCCAGGGTGGCATCTCTGTACCTGCAGGTGCCGGCAGTGCCAGGTCAGATACGGGCGTCTTTCACAGAAAGCTGGAGGTGGGGGTAGTGGTGTCTGCCTTTAGCAAGGCCACCACTTACTTGGTCCACACTCGGAGCAAATCCCTGTTAGCTGCTAGGCTTTACAACGTGCAGGGAGAGAACTTTGGTGCCATCAAAGTGCTGGTCCCGACACATGAGGAGCCTGTGCCAGAGGGCAGATGAGCTGCCTCGAGAGTCTGTCAGCCCATCCCCATGGGGCGGAGTGACGCCGATTTCCATCCTGGTGCAAGCACCTCACCTCATCACAGAACAGCCACAGGTCACAGAGTAGCACAGGACTAGATGACCCCTAAGGCTCTTTCATCCACTGAGGTCCTGTGTGCCCATGACCGTACTCAGAGCCATGGACTTGACTGACGCAGTGGGAAATGACAGGTGGTGGAGGGTGTGAGGAGGACGATGGGACCAGGCTCCTCGCCAGCTCCGGGACAGTGGGAGGCTGTGAGGCTCACCTCATACTCCATGAACCTGGCAGAATCATCCAGGACCATCTCCTCTCGCTTAGGGGGGGTGTCGCGGGTGGCCAGGGCCAGGCAGCGCAGGGTGTCCCGGCCAGTGCCCCATTCCTTGATCACTGTCATGATCTTCTCCTTCACCGGCCCTGTCAGTGGCACCCGGGTGGTGCCAACTCGCACATAGTTACAGCGGTCGATGACCCCCTCAGGGGCACCCTAGAGAACCAGAGCGGCACCATCAGAGGCCTCTGCCCTCCTGCCCGGACACAGTGCCGGGGCGAGGCAGGAGAGGGGCCCAGGTTAGAAAGGCACATTCCAGTCTCCAACCTTGACAAACATCTTGTTGCCCACAGCAGCCCGGGAAGACTTGGCTGGGGAGCAATAGACAGACATGGATTTCCTGTCTCGGGAGAACTCCAGGGTGAATTCCTTCTTCATTAGCTGGCGAATCACCTAGGAGACAGGAGCCAGGGAGGAGATCAGATCCTTCACTACAGTCAGAAAGGATCTGGAGGTCACAGCAGACCCCCAGCCACAGTCTCAGGCCAAGACTGAAGCTAAGTCAGGTACCTACAGCCCAAATGGAGCGAGTTCCAAGGCTAGTGCTGCCTCAGTGTTAAAGCATGAGAGGGGCCAACAGGTGGCGTGGTGGTTAAGGGTGCTGGACTCCCACATGGCCAGCCATGGTTCAAGTCCTGGACCTGCCGGCTTACTCTCTCACTCTCCCTCCCTCTCTCTCTCTCTTTCTCATTCAGTCCCTCTCTGGTCAGATTTAAATAAATAAAGTTCAATAAAATAATTCTTTCAAAAAGAGCACGCTAGAATAGGCCTTGTGTGCCACAGTCTAACAGACCTGTCAGTGATGACAGAAACGTCCCATAATCTGCACCATCCAGCATGGTGCAATTGAACAATGGCCACTGGGTACCGGAAATGGGGTCAGCATAATTGGAAAATGGAATTGCTATTTTTATTTCATTTTCATTCATTTTGGGACCAGCAGATGGCATAATGTTTACATTGCTGGACTCCTATGTCGCTGACCACAGTTTGAGTCTCAGACCAGGAGGCTTGAAACTCATGCTGGGCACGTGTACGTGCCCAAAATCCCAAGAGGAGAACGGAGGAGAAGGGATTGCAGCATGATCATCCTCCCTGGGGTGGGCGATTTCTTGATTTCTGTCTCTCTGTCTCTCCGGCGAGTGCATGCACCCCATAGCAAAACTCTCTCTTGAAAAAATTTTTTTTCATTAATTTTAATTAAATAACCACAGATTTGGGGGCAGTTCAGTCCTCATGCCTGGCAAGTAGTAATCAGCACACTATCAATGAATGAGAGGTTT